CTTTCGAGATTTCGAGCAATTTAGGCAACGCTCACGGTGCACTACTATTAGAGAGAATACGGTAACTGATAATTAAGTACTGTAGTTAGCACTGTAGCTTGTTTAAAGCTTATATAATCTAGAGGTTTAGCAATGAAAGCAAATAGTTCCATAAAAAAATTCAGAACTTTCTGATAATGGTGAGAGATGCGATTCGAACTGGACCCGACAACGAGTACATTGAGGAGTTGAAAGTAAAGTGTTTGCTAGTTTATCCAACCTAAGTAAACCTAGCTAGGCTAGCCCAGACTCCAAGCTTGGCTTTTGGCGGATCCAGGCCTTGTCTGACTGCCTGGACCGGTCTTGTCCCGGAAAATTGTCTTTAGAATAACCCTGGATCTTTAGAAGCTTTAGAATCTTTAAAATCTTTAGAATTAGAATAACTATGACGTTTTCAGGCACAATCCCAGCAAGCACCCACATTGAAAAAGCTACTCACCGGTGTTTTGGACTCATTCGAGAAAGTTGATTGTTTTATGGTGCCCAGACCAGCTGAGCCGGTGATTCGAGCGAGTGGCGAAGTGCCGGTGAAAGGTTTGTTAGTAAAGTTGCTGAGTAAAGAACTGGTGTGATAGTTGAGCACAGTATCTGGAGGCAGTAGTTGGGTACGGTAGTCGGTACTGGAACTGGGTAGTGTAGCTGAGAAGGGACCGTTCCAAGGAGGGTGTGAGACTTTGAAACTCGTTCGATCCTTCCCATTCAAGTCCCCCAATTCAGAAGTGTTTCGATATTGATATTGTTGAATGCAATGAAGTTAATTGTTCAGAATTGGCGTTTATTAAATGTGCTAAATCCACGAACTTCTATTGTTTTCTCCATTTTTGAAGTCTTCTCATTATCTTTGTTAAATTTTTCTTTATTCACAAATAGTTCAAAAAGAAAAAAGACTTTAAAAAGCTGAAAGAACTCCAAAAAATGTTTTGCGGAAGTTTTACAGAAAAAGCAAAACGTAGGGCAGCGAGAGGAATCGAACCTGGAGGCAGAAATAGCGCTAGCCTAGCGATAGCCTAAGGGATTATCCCCTAGATTGCCGCTGCTTTTTTCCGTGCGGCTTGGCTCCCTCTTATAGTCGGAGTTTGCTGAAATGGATGCAACTTTGCATGCGCTTTTCTCGAAAGCCAGGGCCCGTGGGTAAAAATAAACAGAATCGGATTCGTCATGTCTGATAGGCGTTTGCATCACCGTTTAAAAGTCTCAGCCTCTTTTGGAACTTTCCTTTGTGACAGAAGTTTGACACTGTAGCTGGATACAGCTGTGTTTTCTAGCTAGATACAGCTGTGCATTCTAGCGGGATACAGCTGTACATTCTAGCTGGGTATAACTGTGCATTCTAACTGGATACAGCTGTACATTCTAGCTAGATACAGCTTTGCATTCCGGCTAGACACAGCTGTCCATTCCAGCTGGATACGATAACTCAAAATCGATTTCAGATTGCGGCTCGGATTTCGTCTCCGTTCTATGCGAGTGTGCCAACCATGTGCTCGAAAATTTGGTTCCGAAAAACGTGATGGGAACGATTTTGACTGGTGAAACTCTGAAAGCACATGTTGAGGTGAACTTAGATAAGATAAACCTTCTATTTTTTGCAAACTTTAAGTAATTTTTACAAAATTCTTACAGTACCGAGAAATCTAAGTACTATTCTACAGAAAGTAGGCAATTGAAAGAAAGTTGAACTTTTCAGAGTCTTGTTAACCACGTCACACACAATCACCACCATGCAATCGGCTCAGCGTACTTGGTTTTGGTTTTTAAGATTGAAAAATCAATGTTAAGAATGTTAAGAAAGAGTTTTACATATAAAGTTTTTAAAAATTGGAAGGTTTATGATTTTTATCCGTTTTACAGGCTACTTCACAACTTTACTTTCAAAAAGCTCGAATTACTGCTGAAACCTTTTTCAACGAACAACATGAACAGGTTTGAAAGGAAAACTTTTGAATAAATCTAATTAAAGACTCTATTTTAATTCCTAAAGTTTTAATTCCTAAAGTTTCAATTTTCAAGTTAATCCGAGAAAACAGTCATCACCCAATCCAACCTGAACTCTATGCAGAGGAATTGAAGAGAATCAGCGGCGAAGCTGTGAAGGTAAGGCTGTGAAGGCAAAACTGTGAAGCTGAGCTACTTTAATGTGCTAGATAGCTTGCGTTTGCTAGAGCACAAAGGCATAAATGTTTTTTTTGTTCTTTTATCTTTTATTTTTTTAAGATCTATCTGGTCAGCCCATTTTTCGGCACGGCTCAAGAGAAACGATCACGTTTCAACGATTTCGAAAAGGGATTGCAGGTTTAAAAAACTCAGCATCACTTTCCATAAGAAGCATTCATAGCATAAAAAACTCAGCATCACTTTCCACAAAGGTTTCAGGATCGTTGCTTGGAAAAAACGGAAAATAATGAGAATCGATATAGAGATATTCGAATGGCTGAAGCGGTCAATGGGAGTTATTTGGTTTATGAGCAGGGGATGCGGGTGAGTGAAATGCCTAGCGGTAACCGTATTTTCTAAGCTCTGCCTAAATTCCTTGAAATCTCGAAAGCCGCTTATTAGAACCTATCGATGTAGGGTTGGAAAATATAGCTAACGATGAGATCTTGTAGAGGATTAGAGTTTTGAGCCTCTGTGAAAGCTTGAGAACTGTAACTGAACTAAAATAGTCATCAACTCGGCTCAGCGGTTTGCACTACTATTAGAGAGGTCGTCAAGAAATTCAAAAGCTTTCGCCTGTCCAACTCTTTCGTCAGCTTTTTGACAAAACGTGATGAACGTGTTGAGCGCGTCAAGATCCTGGGCATCGATTTGGCTTTTTGTGTTGAAAATCTAGATTTGAAAACTTGTACTATTTCCATTTCGAAAAAAATTTTACACTTTCTACATTTTTTTCCCTTCAAAAACGACTAAGAAGCTTTATTTTCGAAAAAAAAACTATCACTTATTTGCTCAAAATGATTCTCCCTTCAAAAAAGGCAAAAAAGGCAACTTCGCATTTATCGAGTTTTTCTGACACCAGAAAAACTCTAATCAGATATTTTTGATGAAAAATAAAGCAGAAAAGGGTTTTCGTTATCAGTTTATTGCTCAAAAACAGTGTTTGGAAGTATTAGCAATTGTCAAATGTTGTTGAAAAGTGTTGAAAGATCAAATTTCAAGATCGATCGCTCTTTTAAATACGATTTTATATGTCGTAGCCGATTATGATTTTCGCTAGCGAAATCATTTGATTCATAATCGGCTACGACATATACAATAAATCCAATAAATTCAATTAAATAAATACGCTTTTAAATCCAAATTCTTGAAGATATTCAGTTGATTAGGTGATTAGCTGAAAATCTTGACGAAGAAACAAAGTTTGCTTTAAAGCAAATGTTTTTACAATTAGAATTTAAATCGAATAGTTGAATAGTTGAATATTTTAAGTTTTATAGAATATAAAAGAGTATATAAAAGTAAATAAAAGTAAATAAAAGTCTATAAAAGTATATAAAAGTAAATAAAAGTCTATAAAAGTAAATAAAAGTCTATAAAAGTCTATAAAAGTATATAAAAACCTTTGAAACATTGACGGCGCATTGACGATGTTCTTTGGTCAGATGAGAAGATTTTCACCTTGGAAGTGGCTAAAAACTCACAAAATCACCTTCAACTTCTCAGTCCAGCTCTCAAGAGCACTCGTAAACGAAAAGTCGCTACAAAAGGTCTGTTTCCAAAAAGTTTGATGGTTTGGGGTGGCATCAGTGCTTCGGGCAAGACCCCGTTGGTTTTTATCGATAAAAATGTGAAGATTAACGCAAAAGTCTATCAAAAAGAGATTCTCGAGAAAGCTGTCGTGCCATGGAAGAGGAGCCATCCCAATTTGACCCTTCAACAAGATTGGGCGCCGGCCCACGGAGCCAAAACAACAATTCGCTTTCTCGAAACCAAAATTGGCTCTTTTTTGACGAAGGATCAATGGCCTGCAAACAGCCCGGATCTCAATCCGTTGGACTTTTCGGTTTGGGGTTTTATGGAAGAACAATTGAGAAATAGAAAAATCACCAATTTGAATGATTTACGTCGAGAGTTGATCAAAATCTAGAACGACTTAGATGCAAATTATCTCCGCCGCACCGTCGATTCTGTAAAGAAGCGAATTGAAGCCTGTATCAAAGCGGATGGAGGCCACTTCGAAAATTTCTTGTGATTATTAAATGCTTTTGTTACAACTATTATATAAATAAAGATTTTTACATTTTCTTTGAAAGAAAATTAAATTATGGCGTTTTCTTTGGCGCACGTAATTATCAGCCACCCTGTATATAAAACGAATTTATTAGCTTTAAAAAATTGTTCAAACTTAAAGAGAAAAAAATAGAAAACTTTTGGTTCACCCTAATACATCAATAACTATGCCTCCCAAACTCAACTTAGTTTGATTGAATTTCGTAAAGTTTAGCGATTTTGGTGAATTTGCTAACAATTAACTTTGACATTTGACTCATCTTAAGCCCGAATCGGCCTCCGGTTAACCCCCGCATTTTAGCCGGGGTTAGCTGCTGGTGAAACATAGCCAGATGAAAATCATGAAAATTTAAGTGCCATTTCAAGAACTGTATCTAATTGTTAGATAAAAAAAGCAACCCATTTCTATTTTAGTGGAAGAGCGTCGACTCCGTGCCGAGGCCGAGAGTGGCGGCTCAAATATGCAGGCATTATTAGCAATGATGAAAGCGATGAACGAGAATTCACAAGTGTAAGTAATAAAAGTCCACTAAAGAATCAAGAACCCTAAACCCTTAATTTCATAAAAGCCATCTTTATCCTTTTAGTCAGAATTCTAGTCAAAACTTTTCTTACTATTAGCTTAGCCAAGAAATCAATCATACCTGGAATACTTGATTCTAAAAGCGATCTGAAAATACAGTACTTTTATTGTAAATGTAGTTTTTTAAACGAAAGTTTTACTCTTTAGCCAAATGGAGCAAATGCGGCATGAAAGGGACGAGCGAATCGCTCGCGAGGAAAGAGATCGTCAAGAAATGGAGAGACGTTACGAGAGAGACATGGAAATAATGAGAATGGTGAGGAAAAGCTAAGCTAATTCTTTAAATTTGAAATTTGTTTACGTAAACAACTAAAGCGTGATTTCCAGGAACAACAAGAGCGCGCTCGTCGCGACGAAGCTCAAGACCAGAAGAGACGCGAAGACATCAGGGTGAGGGGCATTTGAAAGGCTATTTTAGTGCTTTTAGACTTTATGAGGATGGGAAACTGACCCAAGAACGGTTGGCAAAACTAGACCCGGACCGGAGATAAAGACCGGTTTGTTCCAGCTTGTCTGGTCGGCTTGTCAACTCAGATTGTCGATTGTCAACAACTAGTCAGCAGACTAGCATCAAGACTCGGCCCTGGTCCCGGACTTAAAATTAGTCGAGTCTTTGACTAGGTTGATGCTAGTTTGGGCGCTGACCGGGACCGAACCAGGGTCGCAAAAATGTGAGGCGAGGACTCGACCTGCTGACCACGAAGACACATTTTGTCTGCCCGAAAGAAGTTCTTTAGTCTACCTGATCCGGCCAGAGGGATGTCTTGAAACTGACCCTGGTCTGGCCTGATCCGGCCGAGTTTGACCTAATTGGCTAGGGTAGGGTCCTTCCACGAAATAGCTTTTAAACTCATCTGCTTAGCCTCCATGCGGTAGTTTTTCCCATAAATATTATATGCGGTTATGATTATCTGATTCGCTTCTATTCGCCCTCCTGAATAAAGCATATATATATAAAATAGAATCCTCACTTTAAATCGCATTTCCAGATGCAACAAGAGGTGATGGAACGACAGCGACAGGCACACGAGGCCGAAATGGCCGCCATCCGGAACCGACCTCCGCCACCCGCACCCAAGATTTGCTCAATTATGTAAAGAGATATTGTTTTTGACTCACAATCATTATCAAATCTTGATTTCAATCCAATGATATTATTGCTAAGAAAATTTTTCCAATTTATCTCGCTCTTTTTGATCGTTTTTATCACAATCTTGTCACTCTGAAAGTTTTGAATTCATGTTTTTTTTGTTGAAAAGTGTTTCATCAACTTTTGATTATAGTTGAATCAATAGTTCACAAGACAATTTTGCTAAGAAAGCTTTTTAATTTTGCCTTTTTTACAATAACCCTATTGACTAAATAATTGTTGAAAATTTTGTGCTTTTATGAATCAAAAACTATTTATCACAGCACCGTAGCACAAATTGAATTCATAAACGTTGAAAACTTGATGTTTCCTCAATCATCAGCAATCGTCGCGATCAACACAATGAGCCCGATGGGGACAAAGAAATCAATCACACAGCCGCATAAAACATTCTCACAAGAGCTTTGACTGTAGAAAAGATCTTTTCTAAGCTTTTCTCTTTGATCCAGACATTTTGATTGGCAACTCATTGAGCTATCGAATAGAATACGGTGAGTTTCTTGAGCTCTAAAATTTTCGTAGATCATGTTTGAAAATCTCTTGGTTTTCAAAGCGTTTGGTGCTCTAGGTGCAATAAGTTTTAAAAGCTGCTGAAACAGTTCCAAAACTATAAAAACATGCAAAAGTAGTGCCGATTCAATTATTATGTGCGCAAAAGACATTTTTGTGGGTCCATCACCGTTGCGCCGTAAGCCAAAAAAGAAAATTGCGCCGACGAATTTTGCGCAAGTTTTTTTGCGCCGGCGAATTTTCGTTTTTGGCTTCATGGCGCAATCTTCATGGCGCAAAATTTGTGTACGCAAATACAGCTTTTAATGATAAACAGCTTTTAAAACTTATTGCACCTAGAGCACGAAACGCGCGGGAAAAACGGCCAAAATATTTCAGGGCAGTCGCTTTTTTTGATGAAGATATGAAAATTCATTAGTTTTATGATAAATACCCTCAAAGAGCGTGTTTGTATTTTTTTTACTTGTTCTTTTACAATATTTTAAAGTTAACACATTTCTTTGTTTAGGCTCGAGCATAACTCGAGAATCAACGACAACGAGCACACAACGAGGAGGAGCCAATAGGGAGGTAACATTTTGTTCTTTATTTTCCAGGCTTTTATACAGTCGTCAAAAAAAGCCTTGGCTGGTCAGTGTTCACTTGGTCCATTGATCACATCCAAATATATAATTTACCTCCCTACTCACCGGATCTCGATCCAATTGAACATTTGCGGTCATTTGTGAAGTCGCGCCTAAAGGGAAAGAAATTCGATTCGAAGGCCGCCTTATGGGTTTACATTCAACGTCTTTGGGTCACCATCCGTCCAAGTCTTTTGCAAAATCTCGTGGATTCCATGCCGGATCGACTCAATGAAGTGATAAAAGCAAAAGGAGGACCAACCAAATATTAATTTTTTTAAAAATTGTTAATTCTTTTCAAATGGGACTTTACTTTTGTGGGTGGAGCTATTTGTTAGGCAGCTTATTTTTTTGTTTTTTGCAAGTTTTTTGTTTTTTTCACATTGTTTTCAATTAGAAAACACGTTGAAAACGTAGACACATTTTAGTGAAATACACTCTATTCTTAAGCGGTGAACCCTATGCAAAATCATGCGTTTTGTTTCATTTTATCAGGGTAAAAGCATGATGAAACGAAAAACGAGACCATGAAACGAATGCGACTGGCACACCAGGATAAGATTCACCGACTGATCGATCGATCACCAGTCAAACAGAGCTCATGGTCTATTCTTTGAATGTTTCTCTAACGATTCTCCGAATGTTTCCCCGAAAATCGATCACCAAATCAAATGATCTAATTCAAATCTGACTAGAATTCTTCCTTAAAGCCGTTTTCGTTCTTTCTCAACAACACCCACAACTCAAACAATCTCATTCAAACAAAAGAATCAACTCTTTTTTAGCTTTTGTTTTCTCTCCAAAACATACCTTACTTTTCACTTTCACAGTAACATTCTTAAAGGGTAACCCCCAAGTCTAACCCCAAAAATCTGACCCAAAATCTAGTCTACTTTGTACTCTCGTCCGTTTTCTGTTTTTTTTTAAAGTTTTCATGGCTTGTTTCTTTATTCTTATAAAATCATTGATATGCAAATGTTTTATTTAAAATCACAAAGAAAAAGTTGCATAGCAAAATTATTTCATGATCCAACTACAGGGTGGCTAATAAGTATTGTCGCGTGCTTGAACGCGTGTTACTCCTCGACGTTAGTTTCAAATCTCATGAGTAACATACCAAAATGTTGCTGAGTGTTTAGGGAATCTAAATCTATGCATGGATTTTCGAGACAACCGCTGTGAAAGATTTAATTGAAATTCTTTTGCTTTTCAAAAAGGTACTTGTCCCGCTGCTCGTTTTTTAAAAGTTTAGTGTAAAATATTTTTTGAAGGATTTTCAGAAGATCAAACTCACAAAAGTAAATGTGATTGTGATCTTGGTAAGAACTCTTTCAAAGTCAAAAACGGATGTTTAATATCATATTTGGTTGGCTTTTAGACCCCTGCTTTTTGCTATTTTTAAGAGAGGAAAAATGAGAGCTATTTTTTTTAAATCGTTACTTTGAGCAAAATTCAAAATTATTTCATTAAGAAAACATTTAAGGCAACATTTTGGCGGAAAATTTAGAAAATTAGCTGAATAAATGAGTAGCTATGAATGAGCTGTATGAGTAGCTTAGAATTCCCTTCAGCAAAGTACCATTTTTGAAAAGCAAAAGAATTGCAATTTCAGTGATTGTCTCGAAAATCCACGCATAGATTTAGATTCCTTAGACATTTTGGTACGTTACTATGAGATTTCAAACTAACCTCGAGGAGTAACACGCGTTCAAGCACGCGACAATACTTATTAGCCACCATGTATAATCAAAAGGATGGGACACTTTTTAACAAAAAAAAATCATAAATGCAAAACTTCCCGAGCGACAAGATTTTGACAAAAATTGGAAAAAATTAGAAAAAAGTCTTTAGAAACCATATCATTGCATTGAAATCTAGATCTGACAATGATTGTGAATCAAAAACAATATTCTTTTACATAATTGAGCAACTCTTCTTCTTGTATTGTGGCGGGGGCGGGTTACAGATGGCGGCCATTTCGGCCTCGTGTGCCTGTCGCTGCCGTTCCATCACCTCGTTCATCTCTCCGATTTGAGCATTTGTTTCCTCTTCAAGTGATTCCAATCTTTTCTTGTCTTCAGCTTGCTTCAAATGGAGAACCTCCATTTGTTTGTTCAGCGTGCCGACTTTCAAATTGTAGCGAACCTCCATCTCGAAGCTGTCCTCGCATTTCTAAAACACAAGGTTCATCTAGGGTTCTCCGTCCTAACGGCTTTCTAAAATATGCCAATTTTTATCAGACTATCGTAGTCTTGCCTCCAGTTTCCTCACATCTAACTTTAAGTGATTCCACCTTGAATTGAGCCAATTGACTGTCCCTGAAGTTGTCTAACAGAGGCTCGACCATTTCGGGAGAGATTCTGGGGAAAGCAATCACCACATCGGCAACGAATTCAGCCTGAATATGAATAGAGCTATACAAAGTTTAGATTTCATAGAGTTTTCAAGTTATCAGCTTCTCTAAAGCCACCTTTTTGATCCCGTACTTTCCCCGGAGTAGATTCTGACAGGCATCGATCGCCTCTTCGATCTCAGACTCATCTTTGATTGTGGCGACGTGCTGAAAGCTCAAATTTCTGAAGGGCTTTGGGATAAAGTTGTCTCAAATTCGCGTAAGGCCAGAGGTCAGGTCTAGGATTGGCAAGACCCAAGCCAGGAGCCAGAACCAGGTCAACAATAGATCAGAAGCCAAGCGTAGAGCTGACTGGCTTGGCTCTAGATCTAATAGTAGGAAATTCTAGAAGCTGGATGCACACGAATTTTTGTATCAAAGCCTAATCACTTACTTCTTTCAACGCTTTCCAATGCTCTTCCACCAATCTTTGGAACATCTCGTCAACCTGTTGGTGAAGGTGCTGAATGGCGTTGTCTTGTTGCAAGTCCTCATATCGAGCCTGAAGCTTGGGATTTGGATAAAGTTAGCATATCAATCTTTAAAAGCTTTATTAGCTGACTACCAGATAGTCCAAATACTAGGGGTTTTCCAGTAATCACCTGAATCATCTCGTTGAGCAAGTTGCGCTTGTACTCGATCAGATCGGGCTCATCAAGAAAGTCTTGGACAACTAAAAATTGGAGTTTAATTCCTGATCTTGATTACTGTAGGTACCTACAGTATTGCCTAATGCAGTTTTTTAAAACTCAAATGTTATTCCAACACCAACCATTTTCAAAATGCTTCATCGCCTCCGGGAAAGCTTTCTCGTGGCGTTCTCTCACAAACTCAGCTTTCTTGTTCTTCTCCAAACTCTCGACAAAGTCACGCTAAACTATCTAGTTTATCTTGTGCTCAAAATTTCGAAATACACCCTTTCTGGTGCACTGTAGTTTGAAAGTTTTCTCACCCTCATTCCTTTCTCGTACACTTCGTAAGCTCCATTGACCGCTTCGGCCCTTTGAATGTCCCTATAGCGATCCTTGTTGCTCGAGATCTTTTCCTGGCATCTTTCCTGGAAATTAGAAGTTGTACTTCATAAGAAAATTTGAGCCTCCTCGGTGGTTGAATGTTGAATTTTTACCTCGGGAATCGTCATGGTTGATGTTGTTCTCAAAAAAATTCTGAAATTGGAGAGAAATTAAGCCAGTTTTCATTTGAGGCAAGATTATGCGTGAGAAACGCTTGAAGCACAGAGAAGCAAAGTTAACTCCCTCTCGAGTAAGGGAGATCAAATGCGTTGTGGTGTAATGGTTAGCACAGTTGCCCGATAAAAGCAAGGTCGCCAAAAAAAACACTCATCAAAAACCTGTGCGCCGCCGGGACTCGAACCCTCGACTTTTCGCTTGCCAGACAACTGTGCTAACCATTACACCACAATGCACTTGGTCTCCCTTACTCGAGAGGGGGTTAAATCTAGGTAAAAACGAAGGATCTAACTGGGGAACTATTTTAAGGTAAAATACAAGAAGACATAGAAAAATCTAGCCAAGTTTCAGTAATTGAACCAGTTATCACTTTGGATTTTGCTCCTCTCTTCATTTTCAAACTCTACAAGGGTAAAATTCCAGCTAGCTTATCAAAATCTCAATAAAACTTGTTCAAAAACTTTCTAAAAACATTATCAATAGATTCATCATGTTTGATTACCTTAAAAAAATGCAAATTTGCGCAAAAAAATAAAGAAGAAAGATAATTTTTCAAATTTTAAACAAATTTAGGGTTTTTAGCCAAAAAACAATGGAAAACGGTAGATTTGCAAAAAAAATCTTATATCTCTTGCTCAATCTTTTTCTCTTTTGTTCTGCTTTAAATTTTGGCAAGATTTTTCCCAAAGGTCTAAAGTCAAAAAGTGTGATCAAGGCGATTTTCGTCAAAAACTGATCAAAAAGCATTAGACACAAAAGAAACCTGCAAAATGATTGAACCACTTCTGGACTCTGATCTCGGGTTAAAATCAAAAAAGTCAACAAAAAAGGGCTAATCTGTTTGCAACGCAGGATTTTGAAAGTTTCAACTAGAACAATGACAAAGCGACAATGTTGTAAAGTCTTAGAATATTTAGAATAGTCAATTTTCCACAAAGCTATTTTTGTGAATCTCCTTTGAATTTTCTCCAAACGTTCAATGGAGACTTGTGAACTTGTTATTAGGTTGGTGCAGATGGAACTTCCGTCACACTTGTTTGTTTATATTTTGGACCTGATAAAAGTCTTTATTGAATATATTTGTCTATCTGGAAGAGTGTCTCTTTGCGCGTCTTTTGATATCTAGGAGCCATGCGTTTTCCTTAATTTGAAGTAATTTTTAGCTTCTAGAAAACGGTTGACCAAAAATTTCGCGTGCTGGTTTGCTTGTTGTATGATTTTAAACAAGGCAGAAAGGCTGCGGAATCTCATCGTGCTCTGTGCAAAGCATTCGGCGATGCCGTGTTGTCCAAACGTCAATTCCGGACTTGATTTCAGCGCTTCCGAGACGGTGATGAAAGTTTGGAAGACGAAAAACGCGGGAATCCGCCTCAAATTGTCGACAACGATGAGTTGAATCGAATCCAACGCTATCGAATCGGATCCATGCCAAACAACTCGGGAGCTTGCAGAGTCACCGCGGATCTCTACAAAGCCCAATTGAGCCGCGTGGACCAGGCATGGCGTCGTCAAGGCAATAACACGGCGACTACAAAATTCCTCCACGACAACGCTCGACCCCACACCGCGAAGACCATTCAGCAGAAAATCGAGGAATTGAGCTGGGAAGTTCTCCCTTATTCGCTATATAGCTGGGACTTGGCCCCATCCGACTACCACTTGTTTCGGTCGATGCTAACTCTTTAGCAGAAAAAAAATTCAAAAACCGCCAAGAAGTTGAAACCTGGGTGTCCAACTTATTCGAGTCGCAGTTGCCCGAGTTCTTCGAAAAGGGCATCTATTCTCTGCGTGGAAGATGGCAAAGAGTCATTGATAATGATGGCGAATATCTTTTGGATTGAGATTCTGTATTAGGATTTTTATAATAAATTTTATTTATGGTTCCAACGGAAGTTTCATCTGCACCAAACTAATAGAATTACTTTGAAGGTTCGCCAGGAAAGAAAATTTCTGATGACCGAAATTACGAGATGTGCGGCCGGGTCATTAAAGGAGAATGACCACAAGCTAATTCCATCGATTTTAGGAGACTAGCGCAAAAGATGTCATAATCTTTGTCAATAGAATTTGTGGAGGCATAAAAATCTGATCCATTTAGAGAATCTAGTATGCACACCGCCGCTTTGTCATAATCAAAATCAAAATGCAAACAGACTTGATCCCTTTCCTTCGGAGTAAAACAGGTTGAACCAATTTTGAAGCTGATTGAGTGGTCAGCGTTCGGGAGACGCGGCAACCTTTGCGGAGCGATTACGTCGTCTGGACAGTCACAAATCACCTAAAATAGAATATGTATTTAAAATGAAAACAGAGCTCGTGATAAGGAAACTGCAAGTGGAATAGTGGGATGATGATACTTATCGAATGCAAAAGAATTATTGAAAAAGCTTACACGGAAAATGAAATCACCTAGTAGAATGTTTAACTCAGCAGAATTTAAAAAGGTCGATCGATGGTTAAAAAGAGAAGATGTGTCTGCTAAATTTACATCAGGAGGGCGATAAATAATAAAAAAGCGGGTCTTTTTGGCAAGAAAAACATACACTATAATAATTTCAGAGTTAAACTTAGACACAGAGCAAATCAGCGAGTGTTTAAAAGAATTAGTGCACTAAAAAGAATGTGCGCAAAAAATATTTGTGCAAATGATGTTGCGCGAAAGACGTTTTTATGGGTCCATCACGTTTGAACCGTAAGCCAAAAACAAAAATTGCGCCGAAAAACCAGAAGCCAAAATTGCGCTGCCGAATTTTGCGCAAGTTCTTTTGTGCCGGCGAATTTTCGTTTTTGGCTTGCGGCGTGTAGTGGACTAATTGTTTTAAACACTCGCTGATTTGCTCTGTGTCTAAGTTTAACTCTGAAATTATTATAGTGTATGTTTTTCTTGCCAAAAAGACCCGCTTTTTTATTATTTATCGCCCTCCTGATGTAAATTTAGCAGACACATCTTCTCTTTTTAACCATCGATCGACGTTTTTAAATTCTGCTGAGTTAAACATTCTACTAGGTGAGTTTAATTTCCGTGTCAGCTTTTTCAATGATTCTTTTGCATTCGATAAGTATCCGCATCCCACTATTTCACTTGAAAGTTTCCTTATTACGAGCTCTGTTTTCATTTTAAATACATTTCCTATTTTAGGTGATTTGTGACTGTCCAGACGACGTAATCGATCTGCAAAGGTTGCCGCCTCTCGCGGACGCTGACCACCATTCAATCAGCTTCAAAATTGGTTCAACCTTTTTTTTACTCCGAAGGAAAGGGATCAAGTCTGTTTGCATTTTGATTTTGATTATGGCAAAGCGGCGGTGTGCATACTAGATTCTCTAAATGGATCAGATTTTTATGCCTCCACAAATTCTATTGACAAAGATTATGACATCTTTTGCGCTAGTCTCCTAAAATCGATGGAATTAGCTTGTGGTCATTCTCCTTTAATGACTCGGCCGCACATGTTGAGAGCTAAAAGTAGACGAGCCATTTTCGGTCGTTCCTATTTGAAACCCCTTAAAAGACCCTCTAGTTAGTAGGGAACTGAATAAGCTCTTCAAAGATTATCGTAAATTTGAGGAGAATATTGAAAGAAATCCCATTAAATCCAAAAACGGGAAGTCTTTTGCACATATATTAATTCTAAAACTAAATTCTATTTTCAAGATCAGCGAGGCTTTAATTTGCAACAGCTAAAAGTATATTTGCTCATAGAAATAACATTAGATTGTCCAATCAGTATCTATAAGGGTTTTGAAGAGTATCTCTAGACTGCCCAAAGAATTTTTCATAATATAAGAACATTTCAACAAAAGGTCGTTTTTTGGAATTAGAAACACTCGAAACATTTCAAATGATTTTATTTGATTTGATTTCTAGGAGCAAATATACTTTTAGCTGTTGCAAATGAAAGCCTCGCTGGTCCTGAAAATACTTTTTAATCATTTTACGAAATGACAAAAAGTTTGTCCGTGATCGGTATCGAACCAGGGAGCAAAAATTCATAGGAGACCTACACTACTAACCACAGGGCTACAAGGCACTTACTTTAGAGGGCGTAATTGAGCATTAGAAGCTGGACGCAAATGGTGTGCCAGAAATTCGAAAAACCTTCCAAAAATCAGGAACTTTGAGGCCATTTTTCTCAAAACTTCTTTCTGCCTGGTACACCGGAGACCTACTTTTTCGGATTCAGGAAATTTTTCCAACAAAATGGGTGTTGTCGCTTGGCTGGAGGCGGTGATCGATCTGTGTGTATCCCTAGTTAGGGTTAGGATTTGTATTGTAACGGATTCAAAGGATGCTAGCGTACCCCTAGGGTTGGCTGCAGTACTCTAGGGTACCCTAGTTTCCCTCCAGTACCCCTGGGGCTTGAATTAGCACTGTAACGCTACGTACGTACGTAGAGTACGCACTCTAAGGATTCTGCAGTACTTCTGCTACTGGAATTCTTACTTTAGCTAGTCTAAGGATCAAATAGTATGCAAATTTCAGACGTAGAGTTTTATTAGCTCAACTTAACTCAGCTTTACTCTCTTCAAGTCTTTGAACTTTGACTTTTAAGTCCGTAAACGCAGGACATCTGGCGAATTGATCAACTATTGTGGCTACTAATTGCATATAAACACTAGAGTATGATAGATGACTAATTCGGGTAGTGGGTAAAGAAATTAGGCGAACTTGAGCAGATCAAAAACTTGCGCGGTGCCGGGATTCGAACCCACGTACTTTCGCTTACGGGGTAACTATGCTAACGGAAATTAAAATCACCTAGTAGAATGTTTAACTCAGCAGAATTTAAAAACGTCGGTGGTTAAAAAGAGAAGATGTGTCTGCTAAATTTGCATCAGGAGGGCGATAAATAATACGCTAACCATTACACCACAGCGCACTTGGTTTCCCTGGCTCGAGAGGGAGTAAACTAGGCCAGTCCCACCGCTTGCCTTTCCATAGAAGTTTTCG